GGAAAAGAGGAAGCAAATCCATAAGCAATTAAATTATTATGACAAGTAGTAGTATTACTACTAATGTTGCCCCCAAATACAACTGAATTTAAACTAGTATTACACAAATGGTGGGTTCCACCAGCAGTAGTAGAAACAAGAACAACAAATCAATTTTAGAGATGGTCACTACTACTACTAGTACTACTAGACTGTGTGACATTGACCWCTAGAACCCACATGCATATCTAAAATCCATAATTTTGGGCATGATTTTGTGGGCTAGTTTTTGGATGAAACAACCAACCTACTATCATATTTTGAATGCATTATTTTTGCATGAAATAAAGCATGTTTTATGTCATAACCCTTGTTGTTTTTTCACAACTACTCTAAGACCCACAAACAAACCAAGTTTGGATTTTGTGGGTTAACTCAGCACCAATAACCCAACAATAGCCAAGCTGTTGGCCCAATAACCCARCAATAGCCAAGCTGTTGGCAGGTCTTTCTCAACACTTCTTGCTTCTTGAAAAATATTAATTAACACTACTACTACTACTGTAGTGACTTAAATGTCCTACTTGTTACAATCCTTGCTGGTGGTTCTTCTCCTCTAACTCTGATATTACAGGAATGACTTGTTCTTTGTGAGTAGCAGTAGTACTAGTACTATGGTGTAGCAGTACTACTAGTACTACCAGCAGTATTTGCTAAAAATTTGGATTGTTGTTGGTATGAGGAGAAATGAATGGTTTCCATGTTGTTGAATAATTAGTAGTAGTGAATGGCAACACAGCATACTAGTAGTAGTGACAGTATGGGACTACTATAGTAGTACCAGTAATTATGAATATTGTATATTCTAAGGACGCCTGGAGTATATGCCAAATGCATACTCTAAAAGACAATTCCCCAGCTTTATCTCCATGCAGTTCCAGTTTTATTTGGACCGGAAGAGTTTTCTGGTTGAGTTGTTGTTGTTTCCGGCATTCGTGTTTCAGCTTCCTTTTCTTTTTCTTTTGGCTTTTCTTTTTTCTTTTTATTTTATTTTATTTTTAATGACTACTCCAACAGTTCCTTGCTCACTGCATTTGGTGGCTTCTTGCCTTTGGGCTTGGCAGTGCACTTTGAACTGACAATGGCATGGTTCTCACCCATCCAAACTGTGAACCAACCTCTTTTATGTGCTCKGAATCTAGCCCCAGGCCTTAATTGGCTTGGCAGTGTGCATGGAACCTGGTCGCGCCTCCACAAACCTCCTCAGAGGGAGGCGCYGCCCCTTGGTGTAGCTAGGAGCATTCTTCTCCCTAGTCCGGAGAGGCTCTGGTTCTGGCCATATAGTGCCTCTTCTAGTTCACGAGGTTAAATATAATATTAAGATTTTTTTAAGGACCATGCCATGACCACACAGCAGTGGTCCATACACATAGTCCTGCAGTCCTGGGACAAACATAACCCCAATTTTGTAAAAAAACTGGTTATTTTGGTACTAATGTGATGTCATGCTTGCTTTTTACACCTCAAATCAGATCAGTTTGCTTCCACAACAAAAATTATGCACAATSCSYTTTCCCCCCCACAGACACACATCAGCAAAAGCAGCAACTGAAGCAAATATTATGACTAGTACTGTCCTGAAACAAACACCCCTTACACCAACCGCAACACCCCAAACCAACATGGCACCAATTGCAGTGGAAAATAGAACCAAAATCTCCTTGAAGATACTCTGGTGGTTGACCTATTTGATTCCTTTGCTGAGAATCTGTCAACATACCACCACCACCAGCAACAGAGGAATGACCAGGCACCGGCACAGGCAAAACAAAACAACAATTCTTCTCCAATTGCCAAGATGCAGCAGCTCTTGCCATTAAATAACCTGACTRTATTGTTCATACAATATCAGCTTGATGTTTTTTGTAATGATAAATTTAGCAAGTACGTGGAAGAAATTAGGGTTCATCTTGACATCATATCAAAGTGTCTATGGGACAATTCCTTTGAACAGTTCAATGTTGGCTTGAATTCTAAACTAAATGTTATTCAAACAAGTCTACTATCTGGATGCAAAGCAGTCTTTGAATGGAACTCTGCACTGTTGTCCCATCTTGTGGCAGAATCAAATCATGCAATAKTACAGGATACTATCCTGAACCAATTTTGTTTACTGAGAGCCAGCTTTGGAGATKCCCCTACTACCATTCTAACAAACTGGATAACAGATAATGTCTCAGTCCAACCCATTGTACAACAAGAAGTGAAGATGAGTACAAGTCCTCATGCAATAGGCACTGCCAACCCACATTGCACCACAGAAAACTTGCCACTTCCAGGATTTGGTTACAAACCTCCAGTAGTACAATCTGCTTCTCAATTATGGAATGTTTTGTTTTCCACTGGTGGGAAGTATAAACATATTCCAATTTGTGGTGGGCCAATGCCCTGAAACATGAACAATCTAGCACTTGGAGAAGGGCCTATCCAAAATGTGACACTCTGATGTTCTCCTGCTACAAGCTTGCAATTGCCTAGGACATGAAAGAGGAATCAAAAGCAATTAAAATTAAGCACTTTTTTGAATCAACGGACAAGTTGYTCTGAGAGTCAAAAACTTGTGCCATAACTCCTTTTGAAAGGAAATTTGTGCAAGAGACACAAGAATCAGAAGGCAGAAGCTGTGCGTGGTAGTAGTAGCAGAGACTCATAATTTCACTCACTTGAACCGCACACTGCACAGTGCACAAGCTGCACACTACACAGCACAGTGCATGGATCACTCACTGTGCGGCACAATGCATGGACTGCACACTGCACCCCATAGTGCACAACCCCGCACTGCACCACACAGTGCACAAACTGCACAGTTCCTCACTGCACCCCACACTGTGTAGCACACTGTATGGCACACTGTATGGCACACTGCACAGCACACTGTACGGCACACTGCACAGCACACTGTACGGCACACTGCACGGCACACTGTATGGCGCACTGTATGGCGCACTGTATGGCACACTGTACGAAAGCCTGACTGCATCAGAATTTGGATTTGTATGTAGGAAAATTGAAGTAATAGATGGCCTCATGATCCTTAGTATCTCTTTATGGAGCTACAACAGTTAATGGTATGTAGTAAATGTTTGGGTCACTATGGCATCAAGAATGATAATCTTTAGCAATTGAAATTGAATGAGATTATCTGCACAATTTCTTTCATAATCATCTGCTCTTTCTGTAAAAACCTATTGAAAGGAGTTATGCTTCCCTGAAGCTTGTTCTTTAAAAAAATGACAGCTTGGGTTCTTGCTGATTCTTCTTGTTTTYCCTTGAGAGAATTAGGTTTGATTGCATAATTGATAATTTAGGAAATGTCTGTTCAGGATGGACTCCTATGAAAGCAAACCTGAATTAGTACTGCCACATTTTCCTCCTCTCTTGATAGTTGGTTTTTGTCAAATTATATTGTTTGAGAATTTCCAGACAGATTCAATATTCTTTGTTGGGGCCAGATTCTGCAGAGCTTTATTTCTTGAGACCTTGGCAATTACATGGTGAACTTACAAAACRGAGCAAGAGCTTCATAGCAGTACCCTTGGCTTTTCCTAGCATGCTCTAGGTATGGAGATATTCCTCCATTTCCCATGGTTGTTTTAAGTTTTTTTGGTGAGTATCCTCAGATGTAATTTTTTGATGTGCCATACTGCCACTGGTGTATGGTTTTGAGAAAAACTGAAAAGAATTGTCACACTACTAATGACAAAATGTGTCACCACTTTAATAAGAAAATGTGTCACTTTGGTGGATTATTTAAGCAGGTTTGGTCCTGGACCAAACAGTACTACTACTAGTAGTACCAGCATAATGCAGAAAAGTACCCAATCTTGGTCCTACAGCGATATAATAACTAATATTATTTTATTATCCACCAAACAGTCAAAGATGAAACAAGGCAAGACTACAATGCAATGCTTTTCAAATACCTGTGTCTTTCACACACCTAACTTGGGTACATATTCGGTCATTCCAGTTATTATCGTATAGCGTGGGCCAAGCAAAAAAAGACGCACCAGTCGAGGAAAAAGTTACAGCCCAAACTGTCAGTTCAAGACTGAAACAGTTATATGGTTAAATTATACCGTGTTAAGACTGCTTTGACTCAACGRATTTGAGTCCCACAACRGTAAAGCAAAAAACTATTTTGCACGTGCGCAAAACTATTTGGTCGCATGAATGTGGGATTCAAAAATTCAGCACATGCCCGCTGTACACTGCAGTACTACAAGCCAATTTTTWATCCCACGAGTCCTTACACGGTAATTAGATAGCCTGTAATCTATGACTGGGACCGTACATTAGCTGGCCAACTCTATGATAGAATTGCTAAATTTGATAGTAGACAGACAGACCAAAAGTTTAGCACATCTATCACAAAATTCAGCATGTTTTGAATGGGTCAAAGACCCCCATTCAAAATGTGCTAAACCTGTTACAGAACCCATGAATCAAAATTTTGAGTCTGCTGTAAGAATAAACAGAAAGTGCACCAGAATCTTAAGACTACTCTACAAAATTAAGACACAGCTATCCTAAACAAGAACAAAGAAGAGAAGTCCATCCATCAAGAATGACACCTGTGTGCCTCTAACTATCATGACCCAATTAGTGCTCTTAATCAGTACATTCTATTTCCTTTCTTTGTTGTACTAACAAGAGCAACAGGAGGAGGAGGTGGTGGTGGTCAGTGACTGTAAAGAGGCAATGACCACACAATCCTCCACACTATTTTTGTTAAGATGGATCAAACTGCCAATGGTAGCAATGGTGGCTGCAAGGCCGGTAYTGCAAATTACTCTAAGGATGAGCTCAGAAGTCTCATGTGATTGATACTGGAGAAGCTCCCCTGCATTGATGGAGATGGCTGGGATGATATTGTTTAGTGGTTGCATGCAGAAAAATGGCCCTTCCATAAAAGCAAGATGTCTATCAGGACTAAGTATGCCTCTGTAAAGAGGAAAAAGAGCTCCTCAACTGGAAATCCATACATGCCTGACTGTGTGAAGTGGGAATGCCAGGCCCATATCTTGGTTCGGAAGAAGGAAATCTTGGTACKGGAGGAGAGGATGACTTTCTTGATATGAAGGAAGGCTTCATTAAGAGTGAGCCTGGGAAGGTGTCAGCAGAGGAACCCCACCTGAAGTGTCAACTGGAGGAACCAATCTGACTGCCACCGATGCTGGAGGAGCCAAACTGGCTGCCTGCAGCTGGTGCTGGAGGAGTAGCACTGACTACTATGGGAGGAGAATTGACTACTGCTGGAGGTGTATTGACTGTTCTTGGCAAACCAACTTTTGCTAGCGGAGTAGCACCATTGTTGACTGTTGATAGGATCTGGTTGCTGTGTCCAATGGTACTGCACTGGAAGTTGTACAAGTTGATGAGAAGGCTCATGGTGATTCTTCTTTCCCCCTGCTCCTCCAAGCACATCCCGTCTTTGATTCTTGGGAGCTGTCCCTGGATTATTCTCATCCCAAATTCAGACATCTRTTTCAACAACGTTGCATCCCTGTTGAGGAGTATCAAGTCTGGTTGTTCCGGGTCCCTCTGTGAGGTCTTGATGAGGCTTTCCTTGTAATCTTTCAGAGAAAATGCTGAATCCACCACAACCTTTGCACCATTACACCCTTTATGGACTTTTGTGATTCTTTGGTACAAATCATGCTCAGCAATAGCACTGTCATGCCAAGCCCTGGGGCAGTTGCTGTACACTGCAATACACCATATTCTACCATCTGGGGCTAAGGCAAACACACTATTGATGAAGGTGTTCTCCTTCCAGGCATTGTAGAATGGGCTTTGTTTGCACCAGCAGTCACCAGAGGCTCCAATTACTTGCTTGAGTCCATCAGCTGCAGCCCAAATGCATTGTTCCCCAAGGCATTGGTACTTCTTGTTTCCAATAGCCTGAATGTAATCATCCACTTCTTGCTCAGTTGGAACACTGACCATGACATCTGGGTGTTTGTGACGAGCAACAACAAGGAACACCCTCCATAAAAACTTGAGCTACTTGTACATCACTGTGGATGTCAAGCCAAAGGCTATCATCATTTATCTTGAAACAGATCCTATYRTCCTAAACCAAWAGAGCACTTGTCCAATAGCACAGACTGCATCGTCCTCCCTCTTCTCCCCCTTGGAGGACTCTCCACTGGAATAACAAGGAACTTCCACAAGCTCACCATTGTWGGTGTTGACAGTGTATTTGTTGTAAACTGGAGCAATTRTGTCAAMAATATCCCTGAAGACCTTGTGGTCTACACCRCAGCAGATGAGGAGGAGTGCTTGATCAAGAAGCCCTGAGTGGAAGAGATGGAGGAAGGGGGAGCAAACAATCAGTGCATCTCTGGATTGCAAGCTGGGGAGTTCTCCTATCCCTCCTTTGACACTCTTCTGGWGTTCTTATTTTGTTTATTTACCTTTTGGTTTGCTCCTAGTCCTCGTCATTCAACTGGATATACCAGCACATCATATTAATGATCTCCACAACTCCCATTGTGGCGTTCTTTCTTGCTACTAGTACTAGTACTAGTACTAGTACTAGGAGGAAATTCTGGTCTAATAGTGTGTCTAATAGTGTGTCTAATAGTGTAGTAGGGAAGATTCATATTTTTGATACTATGAGTGTGTATCAGAAGCATGTATCCTCCTTCTACTATTACTTAATACTAGTGTAGTGGTGATACTGCAGGAGTATCAAAAATTTCATGTTTTTCTTTGTTCTTCTCGTAGTACTAACAAGTGGCGTTCACGCACCCCTTTTTACTAGTCTTAACAGTTTTTATGTTGAACTACTATMGTTAAGATTCCAGATTCCCAAAATGAGCCAGCCTTCCATTCAGTCTGTCCATTTTAATCTTGATTTCCATCATTATTTGCTAAATGTGCTAAATGTGGCCGTTTGTTAGAAATTCTATTAATGGGAATGACCYATTGGGTCATTCCTGTTAGTCTAGATGGTCTACTTTTTTACAGACAGACAGACAGACCAAAAATAGACCATCTAGTCTCAATTTTTTGACTTTCTGTCAACCCTCCATCCACGGCCTTACAGAAGTCTAAATCTAGACCGGAATCCGTGTTTTAATTAGTACTGGATAATTAGTACTACTATGCACATGCACGCTTTTCTAGTTTTAGTCATTGATTCCAAATTCCTTTARGACTAGTGCAACTAGAAAGAGCCCCTTAAAAATGTCTGTTGGGACCCTGTTTTTATTGATTAAAAAGTCTAAAGTAGACGGTTTAAACTTTTAGACCATCTAGATAAACGGGAATGACCCATTGTTTGTTATTCTTCCTCGTCTACCTTCATACTCAATTATCATATGTACATATCCAAAATTATGACGTCATCATGGCATCGGATTCGATACAATTGGTTGAACTCTTCTGAAGAATGACGTCACTATGTTTTCTTTCTGCAATCCAATTGGTCATCCGATGGATCGGAAGTCTGATCCTGAGAGTCGAGTCCCKATTGCTGACGTAGGGAAGGTATTGTCACTATGATTTGCCAATCGAAATCGTTAGAGGGGAACAAAGAACTCTAGGGATCATGATATCGTTCGATACGCGCATGTTGTGCGTACAAAACACTGTACGTCCCGTACCGTAGGAGGAGAATTATTTCAGCTCCAAACAAATGGAATCGAACGGTCTGCTCTTCCTTCCCGTTCGGATCTCTGCAGAACGTTTTCTTTTCGTTCGATCAACGATCATCGATCATCGACAAATGAAAACACAAGGAGAGAGAGAGAGAGATACTGGTGCGTACGATACAGCAAGCTCGGCTCATCAGGGCCATCACGTCAACGGAGCCGAATCTGCAACTCTGACAGGTTGGATTCTTTCCGATCCATCACAACATCAAATTTAAATASTTTTCAATTATAACTCTCAAATCCGAGATTCAACGGTTCACATTGAAAAGGGTTTCACCTTCTATGACTAAAAGTCTGGATTCAATCAGGMAMAGCAATTGCAATCCGATTTTCAGAATGAGCAGCTCCATTATGACATCGTCATCATGCCAGAATCCATATTCAACTTCYGCCTTTCGACAGAGGCGACGTACCAATCACGAACGAATGCCGCGATACAACGACCGATGCAGTACTARCAACAGGTCTTTTCTGATCGGACTATTGCCGGCGGTTGCCGCAATAGTTTTTATCGTTTCATCCTTGTCCTCCACGGATGCTTTCATGTTTGCACAGCCCGCGACGTCTCGAGGAACGATAACAACAACCACAGCACGATCGACTGGATCGGGGCTACCTAATGGAAGCACCCAATCAAGACGCGTTGGCAACACGCAATTAGCAGTTGCAAAGTCGGGTGGCCAAATGATCGAAACCGAGAAACAATTTGCAGAAACCGTCCTTTCCAAAGATATTTCCCGTCCCGTTCTCGTATTCTACACCGCACCTTGGTAAGTATTTTTCAACGGAATGGTTTYCGCAAGCGCAGCATCTCCACCGAATCCGTTCCATTACCTTTCTRACTCCTTTTTTCTTGCGAAACACCGACACCAACAGGTGCGGTCCTTGTCGRTTGACGATTCCGGTGGTTAAGGAGATACTGAARCAATATTCGGGTGAACTGGATGTTGTGGAAGTATGCACGGACGATCTGGCGGAAGTTGCGGAGGATGCCGGAGTGTTGAGCATTCCCACCATTCAGTTTTATTACGATGGGGTTGCACTCGAAACTCATTCCATCGTGGGGTGTGTGGCGAAGAGCGTCCTGTCGAACGCCGTCGAAAAGGTGTTTGAAGACGTGGCACAAATACGGCAGGCAAACAGCCGATAGGAAGCACTGTGTGATGTGGGTGGCAGGAAACGAACTCGCGGTTGCGAGAGGCACTACCGAATGGATCCCGGACGGGCGCAGTGTGGAAAAAAGTAAGAGTTGCTRTCCGATTTGCACGTCGTCCGTTTGCAYATTACAAAAGATGTCGACGAAGGTCTGAGGGAAGATAACTATGTTTTTACATATCACCTCTACTAACGAGATTGGTTTTCCAATCATGTGAGAGTATTTCTACATGAGATTTCTGACAGACCGGTCGATCGACTTCTTGCCGCCTCCCAAACCGAAGGGGGGTTCCCTCTTTGAATTGATTCCATGCTGACACCCTCCTTGTTTCCTTTTGTGACGCCCGTCGTCTATAGACCGCAGGGGAGAACGGGAGTCTCTCGGGAAACCGCAGCCCTGTTGATTGGCACTGCGCATGACTGCATGCTACACAAGGCCAYTTTTTGGAAGTGGAGAAGAAATGTCCGGTCGGATTCCGGYCCGTCTCTGCAACRGGTTGAAACACAATGTATGTGTCACTGAATATTTTTGCTGTGCGCTAGCAGATCGAACTTCATTTCCCGTAATGCGATCCTTATGTAGATAATAGTTAGATAACACTTAATGCAATGCATGGTGGTGTCTTGAATCTGTGTGGAATCAATCCGGTTGTCGAGACTCGTTCACCGTGATTGTTCCCTAAATTGAACGAAATGCGTCCTCCGGTCCATCAGGCAACCTCTATCGTCGAATTCTGGTCCTCCTCCTCCTTCTTGATCGGTTTTTCTTCGACCGGCTTTGGATTGGCCGTTTCGGGGTTGAGCAGCGGGGAAGGAGTCACGTGGTGCTGCTCGTTTGTGGATACCTGCTGGACGCGGTGCTTCTCCATGTCGTCGTGGTTGTTGATGTCGTCGTCGTCGTTGTTGTTGTTGTTTGCGGTGGAGACGGATTGCCCCACCCGCGTCGTTCCGATGCAGGCCCTCTTGTTGCGCTGGTGTGAATGGCCCTCGTGGGAGGAATAGTACCTCTTCTTTCGCCGRCTGTTGCGTAGGGGCTTTGCAAACAGAGAGGCCAGGAGCTCGGGGGTGATGATTCCCAGAGACCCGTTGGTTCCCTTGGAGTTTGTAAACACGCAGTGAAAACATCGCCGTTTGGGGTCCTTGTCCGACATCAGGGTCACCTGCAAAACAAGAAAAGATCGGCACGTGTCAGCAAGGAGTGCCTTGGAAACCAGAGGGTCGCACGAACGGACTAGAGACACAAAAGAACAAATCCAATAAACTTACGGTAACGTGCAAAGGTGGAATGGTTGGTGAATTGGTCTCGGCAGCCACCTTGTTCCACTTTTTGATWGCGGGGTAGTCGATGCAGGGCAGGGTCATGGCCGTAAARTTCAGCAACCGCCGCATCGGCACCGGTACCGCATCCTTTCGTGCGTGTTTCCCCCCTCCCGTTTTCCCTCCGCCCTTCTCGTTCGTGTCGGTGACAATGGTCGCGCTCGGCGTCGTTCTTGCGGCCGGCGGTTCCGATCCTTTTGCTCCGGAGGAAGCCCCGCTGCTTCCCGACCGGRAGGTTCCGGAGCCGGCGTCGTCGGACTGGCTCTCGGCACTCGAATTCCCGGCTTTGTCCGAAGCGTCGCCGCTTCCCGGATTGGAGCGCGAAGCGTTGTCGTCCGTGCTGGTCTCGCTGGACCGTTCCGAAGACTTTCCGCTGGATTCTCCCCTGGATTTTTCGGAATCCGAGTCGGTATCRGTCTTTCTCTTGCCRGTTCCTGCCGACTCCGTGGAATCGGAACCGGTGTCCTCTGTTGCGGAACTCTSGGGAACCYTTTCCTTRGCGTTGGKGCTCCTTCTTGTCTCTGCCGCGGTGGGTTTCTCCGTGGAAGAATCCTCGGTGATGGCAYCCTCCCCGTCCGCTGTTTCCGTCGTCCGCGCGGAAAGGKCACCCTCTGTCTGCACCGGGGCARCAGTCGCCTCGTTGCGTTCCGCGCTGCCCTGATTTTTCTTGTCGTTGTTGCTACAGATCACGGTGTCCCGTCCGCTGAGGCTGTCGTGGGACGAAGCCGAGGCGGATACGGACGCCGAAGCCACGGCTTGTTCCTCGGTGTTGCGGGTGGTCGTGTCGTTGGCCTTGCCGCTGGCGCTGCCCATGCCTTCTCGGACCTCTCCCGGCTCTTCCGCACCGCTTCCGCGGTCCTCCTCCCCGGTCGTTTCTTCGGTGGATTCTCCCTCGTCGGTCCGCAGGGCGGCCGCCACGATCTCGAAAAAGTTGGCCAGGTTCTCGGGCTTGACGAGGCTGAAAATGGTCATGCGCTCGATCTCGGACTTGCGGTAGCCGGTGGCCTTGGCAAAGCACTCGTTCCAGGTCACGATTTTGCCGGAGGTGCTGGCGATGAGCTGGGGWATGTTGGATTTGTCAAAGACCTCTTCGTAGTTGAGCTCGAAGCTCCGCTCCAGGGAGGTGACCTCGTCCGGGGGCCTCTTGCGGCTCATCCGCTTGTCGTTGTTGAAGACGACGTCCTTGTGTCCCGTGTTGCGGTCCCGGCTGGTCTTTTCGCTGGCCACGGCGGCGTCGCTCGAGATGCTGCTGTTGGAGGGCTGGTCCTCGCGTTCTTCCCGTTCCCCGGAGGCCGATTCGCGGCTGTCCTGCTCGGTGGGAATGTCGTCGCTGCTTCCTCCCCCGCTCCCGCTGTTGTTGGACGACGAGCCGCGGTTGCTGTCGGTCAGTTCCGAGACGGTCGAGAAGGTCTTGCTGACGGAGCAGCCCTGGGCACTGGGCCGGCTGTTCCCGGATCCGCTGCCGGAYCCGCTGCCGGATCCACTAACGGTACCACTGCCGGTACCGCTGCCACCCCCCCGGTTGTCGTCGCCGGAGGAGTCCTCGGTGGTGGCCTCGCTGGGCACCGTGCGGCGCTTCTTGTTCCCGCTGCCCCCGTTGTTGTTGGTGCTGCGGATGCCGCTTCCGTTGTTGTTGTTCGAGTTGGAATCGTCCGTCCCGAGCGAGGCCGCCTCCCGGTTTCCGTTGCCCGGGGGTGGTTTTCGCTTCTTGGCGGCGTCGTCCCCGCCGCTCTCCCCGCTCGTTTCCTCTTCCTGCTTGTGGCGGGCKGTGCTCATGGTGGTGTCCGAGGTGAGGCTGGAGGTGGTGCTCTCCGGATCGGAGCGGCCCTCCTGCATGGCGCTCTCCTCCTTTTCTCGCTGCAGCTTGCGCTGTTTCTCGTCCACCTCCGAGTTGAGCTTCTGGTTCTCGGTTTCCTTGTCGGCCGTGAGCTTGATCATGTGCTTGATGTACTGGGCACAACTGGAACAGGGGAATTGGCAAACGGACGAGAGAAAAGTGAGGCGCAAGAAGGTGAGTTTGGATCGAGAACGGATGAGCTGCGCGATCCACTGCCAGCTCCCGGTGCAAGGCAAGGCAAGGCTAGCAACCATGCTATACCATGTCATGCCGTGTTGTGGGAAACGAACCAAGGAAACGCAAACCGTCACATCACATCACATCACATCACATCACATCACATCACATCACATACACCACAGCACCCCGGCCGACACACACGCACAATCACATACACACACAATCACGCACACGCCCACATTTTTGTTGTTTGGTTTCTGGTACTACACTACTTACTTGGACAGCGTGTGGAACTTGCTCCGGGCCTCGACCTGCCAGCCCCCCTCCTCCATCTGCAGGCGGAGCTGCTCGATGAGCTCGGTGATCTTCTGGGCCCGTTTCTGCTCCCGCTCGTTCTTGACCTGCCCGTTCTTGCTCTTGCGGTGGTTCCCGTGGCGGGCGTCGATGAGCTGGGGGGGCGGCCCGCGGTGGGGGGGAAGGTGTCCGTTCGGCGGCTGGCCCTGTTGTTGCGGGCTTGTCCCGGGGGCSGCGGTCTGGAACTGGTGGGGGTGAAAGCCGTTGACGATCTCCCCGTAGTGAAAGGAGTTGGGGTCGTGCTGGATGGGGAGTCCGAGGCGGCGCTGGTTCTGCATAAAGTTGGCCCGGAGCTCCATGGGGGCGTCGAAGAGGTAAAAGGGGGGRAGGACCGGGTTGGTCCCCGCTCCGTTGGCGGCGGTGTTGGCCTCCGCCGGGGCCGGAGCGGCCTTTTTCTTGGCCTTGGAGGAAGCCTGCCGGGGTCCGGTGCGGCCCGGCCCGGTTCCGGCCGGGCCCCGGCGCTTGGTGTCCACGTTGCTGCTCGAGACGGTGCTGGGCTGGGTCACCACCGAGGCGTCGTGGTGGTTGTGCGGTGGTTGCGGTTGCTGCTGCGGTTGGGGTTGTGGTTGAGGCTTGTGGTCCCGGGAGTGGGCCGCTCCCATCCTCGCCACCTCGGCCGCGGCCCTGGCCACCGCGGCGGCGGTCGCGGCCACGGACGAGTCGGTGGACTGGGCGAGGGCAAAGTTTGCGGCCAGGGTGGAGAGATGCCGGCGGTGGCTGCCGGTGGCAGCGGCAGTGGCGGCAGCCGCCAGGGCCGGGGACGTGTTGGCCATGGTGGGCGTGGCCGAGGCGGTCCTGGAGGCTTCCCCCGGGGCCCTGGCCAGGGACCGCTCCAGGGCCTGGCTGAGGCCCTCGCTGCAGAGGCCCCGGTGGGAGTTGTCCCCCTGGGCCTGCCGAAAGGCCGGGCCCGCAACCCCCTTGGCCCGGGAGGCCACCACGGGGGCACCCGCGTGGGCAGGGGCCGGGCAGCTCGCCGAGGACCGGATCCCCAGGGGGTGGAGCTGCTGCTGTTGTTGTTGTTGTTGCTGTTGTTGTTGCTGCTGCTGTTGCTGGACGGGGTGGACGACCCCGTAAAAGGCCTCGCTGCTGGTGGCAGTGGAATTGGCGGTGGTGGCATTGTTGTTGACGTTGACGTTGGCATTTACATTGACATTGTTGTTGACGTTGACGTTGGCATTGACATTGTTGTTGCCGCTGCCCCCGCCGCTCCCCGTGGCCTTGTGGACGGCGTTCCTGCTCCTGTTCCCGCTGCCTCCCCCCGGGGTTTCCCCCGGGCGGTTGCAGTCTCCCGAGTGGACCGAGCCGGAGGTCTCCGAGATGRCCGCTACCGCCGCCTCGACGGCGGCGTCCACCGTCTCGCTGGCCATCCCGACGACCCCGGACGGCGGCGCGGCGCCTKCCTCCTTTCTCCCGACGCCGWCGTTCACGTTCACGCCAACMCCCACGCCCTCCGGGCCGCCYGCGTCRTCGAACTCCGCGAGGCCGGACCACTGGTCCCCCCAGCTCCCGTTCCTCTTTGCCTTTGCGTGCGACCGGGGCTTGTCGTCGGTGGCCGGGTGGCTGTCYACCCCCCAGGACTCCACGTTCAGGAGGTTCGGATCAAAGTCCGGGTGGTCCTCCGAGTGGTCCCATCCCCCCAGGTTCTCCATCGCTGCGTTTTTGTTTCCGTGCGCTTGGTGTCTTTGCTTTGTTCCGTGGCAGAACCCTTGCAGGGCCTCGCGATCCGGTGCCGTGGACAATTCGATTCGATCCGATCCGATCCGATCCAATCGAACGGGACGTCTTCTGTTCGAGTCCCGTGGGCTGTGCTGTGCTGTGCTGTGTTGTGTAATGCTTCGCTTCGCTGTGCTGCGATGCGCTGTGTGTTGCTCTTCCAATCGCACAAGCGCAGATGCGTGACAATGGGCTGGCTAGCTAGCCTTGTTGCTCCTGTGCGTTCGTTGCTATCTATTGTGGTTGCGGTTGTTG